CGGGTGAGGCTTTGGGGCAATTCTCCTAGAAGAAGAACCCTACTGGAGGGTGACTGGCTGCAGGGGGAGGGAGGGGTGAGGGTTGTGTTAAACAACGGGAGGAGGAGGAGGAGGAGGAGGAAGAGGAGGGTTGTACCCCGTGAATGCCAACCCTCCTCCTCCCCTCCTGCCCTCCCCTCCCCTCCCTCCCCCTCGGCCTCACCTCCTGCAGCCTCCCAGGCAGTCGGCCTGTCTACATGGCATTCAGCTCTGTCCACATAATACACAAACAAACAGACAAACAGCTTAATTTACTAAAAACTAAACAAAAAAACAGAAAAAAAAACAAAAAAACCAAAAACAATAAAAAATCCCGAAAGGTCAAGACGTTAAGTAATAAAACCTTATTTACATTTTACACATTTTTTTCTTGGTTTTTCAGCGTAATAACTCGCTCCTCTCCCTCCTCGTCTTCTCAGCACATTTTTGCTTTTGCGTCAAAAAGATTTTTTTTTTTTTAATAGAGAATACTGAAAACACGCAGAAGAAAACGGCGCGAACGATTCCTTCCGACATTCTTGCTCTCCTCTCCTTTTTCCATTCTCACTCTCACTTTTTTCTTTTTTTTATACTCCTCCCCCAAGCCCCCACTCTCTTTTTTTTTTTTTTTTTTTTCCTCTTTTCCTCCTCGTTTCTCATTGGCTGTCAGGTTTAGCCCACCTTCTGTGGGTTGGTGGCGCGTACCCCCTGCTCGTAGGTGATTCGCTGGCTGATCAGGTACTGTGCAGCCTGCGTGGCGGCCTGGGAACCTGTGATGGTCACCTTCCTGTTCCGAGTTCCGGGGATGAACTCGCCTTTCTTGGAGATCTGGATCCTGGCACCGGTCAGCTCCTGGTACTCCACTAGCGTCTTCCCTCCTTTCCCCAAGATGGCGCCCACGAGGTTCTCTGGCACAGCGATCTCGACCACTTCCTTCGCTCCTTCTGCGAGCTTCTCTGTGGCCAGTAGAGATGACGCCACCAGTGGCGACGCGGCGCTCAGGTAGCCGTTGGTGGCCCCCGTAGCAGCAGCTAGGGATCCCAGGGAGAAGCCTCCGAGGCTGGCTGCAGGATGAGCTGCGCTGGTGGATGCATCGCTGGCATAGGATGCTAACAAGTTAGCTGCGGCGGCCGCTGCTGGGTTGGCGTTAGCTGCTACGGCGGCTAACACCCCTGAGGCTGCAGCAGGGTTCAGCCCCAGGCCCAGAGAGTTGGTGTTGTACCCATAGCTGGCCAGTGTGTTGAGGGCGGAGGTGATGGCGAGCAGGTCGTTGCCTGAGAGGCTGGACATGGTGGTTGGGAAGGCTCCCACCCCAGCCAGGCCCGCCTGGCCGAGCAGAGAGGAGGCGGTAGCTGCTGCAGCGGCCGCCGCGGCCGGCATGACCTCGGTCGAGTTGGCGTACGGGGACCCGGTGGGGTTGGAGTTGGCGACGGGCCCTGTGATGTTGGAGTAGGAGATGTTGAGGCAAGAGGAGCTCTGTGGGTCCTCCTGGATCTTCTGGACAATAATCTCCACTGCTTTTCGGTTCTGCTCGGGCTCGCCGCTGATGGTGACCACGCGCTCCTGCAGGTTGATGCCCTCGGGCTTTTGGGACAGCTGGACCCACGCCCCGGACTGCTCCATCACCGCCTTGACTGTGGCGCCGCCCTTACCGATGATCAGCCCCGCCGTGCTGTTGGGGACGATCAGCTTGGCCTGTGGTCGGAGAAAAGACAAGATGTCAGAGGTTATTACTCTGTGAAAAGCTGAAATTCCAACGAGAGCACAAAAAACAAACATCAGTGAAGAAACATAAGTGAAAGATTCAGTGGACAACCAAGTCCTCTGCAGGACGGGTGCAAGTTTTTAAGAACTTCCTAAACCAATAATCGGCAGCTTTATCAATCGACCTCTGATTAATCAGTAACACAAACTGAGCTCAGTGAACATTATTTGTTTCCTAATGCTTTGAATGTGGCCACGTATCATTGGATGCTGTAATGGTTCAGATGATCCGCCACCGGGCCACAGTGGCACCGGTCGGCATGAACCATCACAGAGATCTTTGTCATGGCGCCCCTTTACCAACTAACTCTCTCTATTTGCCAACCAGGAACTGCCCATAATCAAAACTACAGTAGAAACTACAGTGTTAAACAGTAAGAGGCTCCACCTGGTGGCGCAACCAGGTACTACAGCTGATCTATTGCACATGTTCTGACCTTCCTGTTGTGCATGATCGCTTTTATCGGTTATGATATTAAGAGCAGGAGCCTACAGAAAGCTGTGTACAGTCAATAGAGGGAAATAAAGAAAAGACGATGTGATGTTACGATTAAACAAAAAGGAAATGAAGAAGAAGAACGGTGGGAGTTTGACAGGAAGTGTCTCTGAGAGGCGTCCCGGAGAAGGACGAGAGACAACAACAAAAAAAAAGAGACCGAACCACGTCTGAATACAGAGTTTCCGATGAGCCGAGGTAGACGCCCAACACGTAACGAACAGAGAGCTTTTTCTTTCTTTCTTTCCCATCTGTATCGGTACATAACAGCGAGAGAAGAAGAAGCGAAGGAGACAAAGTGGTGGAGACGATGGAAGAGGTAGAGAGAGGTAAACAGAGTGGGAGGGAAGGACGGATGAGAGGAGAGAGAGAGAGAGGGAGAGAGAGGGAGGAATTCTAAAGAGGCTACTTGTGTGAAAAAAATAACATTGACTCCCAGGGGTCAGCGTTGCCATGGAAACACAGCTCCAGCATTCAAAGGGTAGTGAAAGGGAGCGAGGCGATGACACACATACACACACGCACACACACACACTTCTCTGAAAACACGGCGGCGGCGGCGGCAGCGGATAACTCGTCTCGCGTATCTGCACGGAGAAATGACGCGTTATTGTACGAATCGATCGGCGGTGCGGTCGTTACGACAACGTGACGCCACGGCAACAAGCGAGCAGCTGAGGAGCGACTAACGATGCTGCTTTTTTTTTTTTTTTTTTCCCAAAATGAGGTCTATTGATGAATCTATTAATCATTTCTTACATTAAATTTATTGAATGTTTAGCCATTAAACGCCGTCCATATCCTCTAGTTGTGCGTCTTTATGGCGTCCATGACATTCAGAGGGAATGTTGCAGGTTAAAAGCATGTCAGGGGACCTGTGTCCACTATTTAATTAGATGCATGGTTGGAAGATTTTTAAAAAATGGCAGCTTCTTTTAAGTTGCAAACGTTATCTCGATGGGTTTTGTTGACATTATTCAGTTGGTCATTGCATCAACAACTTAATTTTCTAAATTCTCGTTGAGGTAAATTCATGAAATTGGTTTGATAACTTCATTTTTCTCTGGATTTGAAGTTCCCGTCTCTATATCTACCTGTCTGGACAATTACATAATGGTTACAACTGAAAATACATTTGACTGGAGAGGAAAGGCGAATTCATCCAACTCATTCTAGTTTGTTGGTTTAATGTAATTTCATTGGAAGTTCAGAGCGATTGATGCAAACTGCTGCTGACGTCGTCCAAACATCACGGTGTGGTCGACTCACGTTCCAGACGTCTAACAGCTTCACCAGATACTGATGTTTCTGTCTAAACTCACACGTTTTCATAAAAAAAATTATTAAACTAATGCAATATCTCAGCAAAAATCCCAAACTTAAATGGATCGGTGTATCAGAGACTAAATTTGTCTTCTTTCGTCAGCTGTCAGACATGTTTGGATCCCTCAGATTTAACTGCTGTCCCTGAATAGAAAACTGTAAAGTAAAGTTTTTTGTTTTTTACATTTCTTTATAAGTAGTTTTATTTCTTCCACCTTTGAACGAATGTCAGAAACGTTTTCTACTGAAACACAAAAATATTCAATATGATATAAAACACAGAAAAGCAACCAAAATAACAATTAACTGATTTTTGTTCACTCTGCCCAGAGCTCCAGAGGCTCTCTGAACATGTAAATATATAATCATACATTTTCATAGTAAAACAAATTCCTCCAGCGTTTAGCTCCTCATTCCTTCACCCAGACAGGTTTGACCTAATTCTGCGTTCGCTGACATCAGACGGCGTTCTGTTTGGGTTTGGTTAAAGGATCATTCCGGATTATTTCAAGGTCGCGATGCGATTAGCCGCGATGGCCGCCGCCGCTGCCGCTTTCTGTGTTCACCGTTGTAAAGAGACAAACGCTGCAGGAGGTTGGTTCCAGTAAACGCGTGCGAGCCGTCGCTTCCTCACGGAAACACGCCAAACTGAAACACGCTGGAATCACCCTTCATCCATGATTGCAGGTTTTCTCAATTAAGCAGTCAATAATCAATGACTGTAGAGGAGGAGGGGGGAGCTGAACAAACTCTGTGATTTCACCTTTAAAAACCCAAACTTCCACGTTCTGCCAGATGTGACGTCAGAGTGAAGGCATCGGTGTGACGCATGGCTGCACAATGAAGCCTCCCTCTGCTGACTGGAACCCGACCAGAGGAAGGTGTGAGACTCACTCAGATTCGACAACAACAACCCAAAATAAAATTAAAAAAACGCTCTCTGCTGAAACTTGTTGCCACAAAACGTGTTACTTTGCTCTTTGGCGCAAACAAAGCAGCAGAAATTGCTTCTGCGACGGCGTTTCTCACCAACGAGGACACCTGCAGCACGTGTTGTGGACTTCTGCTGCTGCTGCTGCACGCTGGTCGCCGAGCAAACAAGTGCGCAGACAAAAAATATCTGCTGCCCGTCTGAATATTTATATTAAGAGCAGAAAGAGAGAGAACCGGGAGGGCAGAGGAGATAAAAAAAAAAAAAAAAAGAGGTGGCCTCGATAAAGAAAAGGAGGACTTTGAAATG